TGACCGGTAAGGGGATCGCAACCCTTGTGGTGTCACCCGCACCGCGCTCAGCCAGTGAGCGCACCAGCCACTCCCATATAGGATCCGAACCTGCGGTGGGAGCGTCTCTGCGCTCCCAGCGCTGCACTCTCCTGAGTGCGCCACGGGGCCGGCCCAAAACAGCTGTTTTCTGAATAACATGCAAGCTGGAAGCCCATCTGGGCTCCTTAAGAGATATTGCAATTGAGAAGACAAAGATACACCATACAGGGGCTTGACTGCAGACAGCGATTTTCTACTGTAGCTCTTCCAAGATTAGAATCTGTCTAGACGAAGAATTTTATTTCTCAGCAGAAGCTATGGAGGACTTTGTGGAATCTTAAAGGTTCGTCATGGTCCTGAATGGAATGGATGCAGGTGAAATTGCAGTTTGATAGGAGGTCTTTTTTCTTTGATCTTCTAATGTAACATTATAATATTAAAGCCAGCAATAGTTGGTTCGTGACATGAAAATGTGAGAGTTCTTATAATGAGCACATACGTGGCAGGGTGCCTGGGAGTGAAAGTGAGATGAGCCCTAGAGGACCTGTGGCACAAGAGCCTGGCACCAAGGGAAAGAACATTTGGCACTGCAAACTGATTCATGCTGTAAAGTTTTAGCTCTTCAAATCCCATTTCAAAATTAGTAGTATATGACCTCTGCTATCTTCTAAGTAACAATATGGGAAAATATTACTACCTTTCTGTTGCTCCTATGTGAATGGCTTAAAGGGGAAGTAATAATGACTGCAGAGTAGAACTTGGGGAAAATGATCCTGAACCCACCCAGTTTGGAGTCATTATTAAAGAATTAAAATGACACTTCATGGATTTCCCTCTAAGGCTTATTCATGGTGGAGTTTTAAGGTAGTTATAATTTAACGATGATAAATCCTGCTTGTAAAGCTCCTATTCAGAGTTCATCCTGCTTTACTGACAGCTCTATGTTTTTCAACTCTTCCTGTGAAGGAGGGAGAGCAAAGAGTATATCTCAAGCCTCCTGCTGAGGGAAACAGGTAATCAGAAGTGAAGTGCAGGTAGAATCAGTCAAGATCATCCAGTTAATAACATCAGGTATAAAACTTCCCTCTGCTAACTATATATAGGTTCTGTGGCCTTCAGTTTTTTTAGTGCTCAACTTTTCATCCCATGGACCACTTCAGTTTACCACCACCGCCACCAATAATAATAATTTTGTTTTAGGAGTAATATTTACTGAGTACACACTGTGTGCCAAGCTGTACTAACCACTTCAAAATCAGCAAACCCTTTAAGGTTGGCAAAAACTGTGTGGAGTGCATAATACTATTAACCTTGATAAATAAGGAAACTGAATTACAGAAAGGTTATAACTTGCCTATAGTCACATAACTAGTGACAAAAGCAGAATTCATACCTACACAGTCTGGCTCCAGAGTCCATGTTCTTGTGCCATCCTTAACTTAAAAAGTTCTACAAATGTTTGAATTTTTTGCCTCAGTGATATGAATATTTTATATTTGTATAATGCTTAAATTTTCACCCAGGGATTTTATCATGTTATATTTTAGAGCTTATTTTATTTCTGTGTACTTTGTAGAATCAGATGGCTGGTAGAAAATAATTCTCTAAATCTAAATAAGGGACATTTTGGTATCACCTCCATTTTGTGTGGCTCAAAGCCTAGAAACTTCCAAGAACCACAACTTGAAAACTTCTTTTGAAGTCTCAAATAAAAGTTTTTAATAAAATTGCCAGTGTAACATGTAAAACTTAATCTTGGAGAAACAAGTTAACTTTGAATGAACAGATTCTTAGCTTTCAGAGAATCTAAAGATGGCAGACTATTTTATTTTATATTTTATTAAAAATAAGCAGAGGATTTATCAATATAAAATAAAAGTATAGGTACCTTTAATTTAACTTAGAAATTTAAAGTATTCCAGTTAGTTCTGAAGATAGTGTTTTGTTGCCTCATAAAAGCTTAGGAAAAGGTACCCCCACAAAAGGGAAGTTTTTTATTGTCACTTATTAACAAAATAGAAATGTTAACAGAAAGAGGGATATCTAATGTAAACTTTTATATAGGATCTTGTGTGAGATAATTTACTCAGTTTATTCCCATATTTTCTATTTAAAAATTTTAGCTTTATTCTACCTTCAAACACTCAAAAAAAGTTCTCAGCATTCTAGTCAAATTGGTAAAAGTCTGAGCAACGCTTAAAGCTGCCATAAGGAAGTACGACAGACTATAAGGTAGCTTAAAAAATAAATGAAAAAGGAGAAAAGGGAAAAAAAGCAAAACCCTTATGTAGTAGAGTGTTGGGACAAGATGAGCGTTCTTCCTTTGTCTCCATTTAATTCCTGATGAAGTCAGAACCATGGCATCTTGTCCCAGAATGAATTAAAGAGGGAGCATTATCTAGAAATGCAGATGTGGCATCAGAAAGTTCTACAAAGGTAAGTGGAGGGCAAAAAGTGTTAGATAAAAACCTTTCAAAACCAGTGACAGTCATCCTTTCTAATCTTCACTTAACTACTCCTGGAACCTAGTACAGAATTATCTTGGGATGTGGGCCCAGCATGGCTCTATAACCCACCAAGAACGGCATGGGGATGCGGATCCTGACCTCTTAGAGCTGAGCTTTCTTCAACCGCAGGATCCTTCTTTAGTCCAGTGCTCAAAAGGAAAACAATGTGAAAAGTATGCTTTCTTAATCTGTCATTGAGCGGGACAGTTCATTTTCTTTGCAGAAAAAAAAAATTGTGATCTCTACTGTTGTACAGGGAAAGATTTTCCAAAGTAAGCCTAATATGATATGGATGTTCTCAGGTGAATTAACATGCTGGGTTCAGTGAGTTTCCAAAGCAGCCAAAGCATAGGGAGTGTGTTCATTTACTACTACTCAACCAGCACCTTGAGTGAGATGGTTCTGGGGTTGGTTTGAAAAAGTAAGTACTGGAAATTCCTACTACAGAATTTACACTGTCTGCCATGGATATCTAAAGATGCTGACTGGGTAAAGTTGCCTCCTTGTGAGCAAGACTTAGCTGAATAGAACCCTGCCTTGGTCCAAAGTTAACGCAACATTCACAGGGAAGATCAGGGAACTTAAGCTGTTAGGACTGCATGCTTGCTACCTCTTAATACTTTGATGAGATCAGCCTGAGCCATTGCAAATACTCTGGCATGAACTTGCAGATGCCAAGAAATGGAATGTAGATGTTAATTGCCCCTGTTCACCTCATCTGCAGAGGGTAGTGAATGCTCATTATCCACACAGAGCCTATCATTCATGGATGTCTGAGTTCAGGAGTAGGTTCTTTGGTCTTGGAGGAAGAAGCAAAGATAAAGATTTGATTTGTCACCAGAAGAAAAAGTGGCTCCTGTCTAAGAGTCTAGAGACTTCTTGGCATAGCTAGTCTGAGGACTAGCTGTGTAACCTTGGACAAGCCACCTAATCTCTTTGAGGCCCTTGTTATTCGGTGGTCAGAAGAGGAGTTTTAACAGGATGGTTGCCAAGGCCAGGGCCACAACTAGATCTTGAGATTCTCTAACTTGAGCAGGTTCTGTGCAGTGTCACAGTAGATTTTCTTGGTGTTCAAATGAATTAACCATGAAAAATTGCTATGCTTTCAAAAAAAATCAGTAATGTGAGCCATAGTTCTTTTTTTTTTTTGTCTTTTTCCATGTCTGGCAACGGATCGCAACCCTCAGTGTCGCCCCCGTACCGGACCCCTATGCTTTCAAAAAAAAAATCAGTAATGTGAGCCATAGTTCTTTTTTTTTTTTGTCTTTTTCCATGTCTGGCAACGGATCGCAACCCTCAGTGTCGCCCTGCTATGCTTTCAAAAAAAATCAGTAATGTGAGCCATAGTTCTTGATCTAAAATTGTATGGGTAGTCTTTTATTCAAACCAATGGAAAGAGAAAGAATTGCCCTAGATTTGTGCTGTTAATACGGAAGCCACTGGCCACAAGTGGCTATTTAAGTATAAATTAATTACATAAAATTAAATAAAAAATTTAGTTCTTAAGTTACAGTAGCCANTAAGTATAAATTAATTACATAAAATTAAATAAAAAATTTAGTTCTTAAGTTACAGTAGCCACATTTCAAGTGCTCAACAGCTACATGTGGCTAGTGTCTACCATACTAGACTACCTAGGCATAGAACATTGTCATCATTGCAGAAGGTTCTATTGGTCAGCACTGCCCTGGACTTTTGCGCAGACCACAAACTGCAGCTACTTTAGAGCAGCGTGTAGATATTTGTGCTGTGGGGTGACTATGTCTATCTTCAGGGAATGAAAGGATGGAATAAATCTCATTTGGACAAAACAGTGAAAGAAATTCTTCAGGCAAATGATGTTGGCATTGAACAAGAGTTTGGGAGAGATGGGGAGGAAGGGAGGTTGGAGGAAGGAATTAGCAAACACCTGAAACATTCTGTGCCTTGCATCTTGACTAAACCTGAACCTCTATAGGTCATAGGACCCCCAGACAGGAGTTCCTCAAAGAGATTGCCACTTTATGCACAACTAATCCCAACAATGGGAGGAGTAGTGCTGTCCTAATCCTCAGGAAATGAGGGATCCTCTCAGCACTTAGTGGTGGGAAAAAGGTTAGTCATGTTTGACACATGTTGCAGAAGAGAAAGTTGTACCTAGCCAGTCAGTGACAGGACAGGCAATAATCCAGGCTTTCTTGAAATAGGAATAACCACTCTATCTGACAGTTGGCTTCTTAGGTATAGGTCTGTGCAGTGAAAGCCAGCTTGTTTTGAGACTTAGGCTTGAGTGTAAAAAAGTATCAGTGATACAAGGAGAAGGCTTGTTTCTGCCTCCCTTCTGGCCCTGCTGCCTAGGGGACTGTGCATATGGGGAAAGGAAGAAATCAGAGGTGGATGGCAGAAGAGTGTAATTTTACCTGCTGTCTGGAAGCCAGGAATCACCTTTCAAAGGTGAAGGGAATCACCTTTCTCTTCTGGACTTACTTCCAGGTGCAGCTGCAGGGGATGACACTGAAGATGCAAGCACTGAGTTCACAGACAGTATTGAGGAGGAGGCTGCACACAATAGCCACCAGCAAGTAAGTCAGTGTCAGGTTTCGGGGTTCCCAGGGTGGAAGGCGCACAGCCCTTCTGAGGTCTGATGGTCTCCTGCGGCCCTTGTGGACCTAAAGTGAGAAGATAACTTTTTATATAAACCAATTCCCAGTCTTCCTCTTCTCCCCGAGCTTCCCAGCTGCCTCTGCAACACATGTCCTTACTCTGTTTTTCTCTTTAATCCACCCTTTGGCCCTTGTGGACCTAAAGTGAGAAGATAACTTTTTATATAAACCAATTCCCAGTCTTCCTCTTCTCCCCAAGCTTCCCAGCTGCCTCTGCAACACATGTCCTTACTCTGTTTTTCTCTTTAATCCACCCTTTTGTTTTTACTGCTTTCGTTTCTTCTGCTTCCTTCCCCCTCCTACCCATCTTTGCTCCTATTTACTCTCTGTAGCAATAACTTCAGAAGAATTTTTACTTACAAGACAATGGACACTTCCACTCTTGGCCTTTTGTAGCTGAAACACACCACAGAAGGCAGGGAGTCATCGAAGGGCTGCATGGGGAGGTGGCAGGGCATAGGACCTGCTTGGGGAGAATGTTCTCTGAGAAACTCCAGGAGGATCAGAATGCTTCCAAAGCAGGGTTCTTTCTCGGTGAAATCTCATTATACGAGAGAACTTTGCTGCAACCTGACAAACCACCCAGGTCATGACAAGTCAATGACCAGCAGATGGCACTTCAACAGCAAGCCCCTGTCTGTCAAACCTCAGAACTTGGACTGAAACACTGTTCCCATCCACCATCAGTGAAGGTGTAACCAGCATGTTCGCAAGCCCAAATGAATGTCCTGGACCTCAGAGATTAAGTCACTGATAGTATTTCCACAGTACTCATTGGAACTCCTATGGGTCTCCACCTTGCCCAGTGGCATTTAGCAATCACATCTCCTAGATGGACCATGCTTGTGATTCTCTAAGCTGTTATGAAGAAAGTGGATCATTGGTAGATATCCTTCTGCAAAAGTAGTGGGCCTTTTCCAGTGACAGCTTTCTTGAGGCTATTAGGAAAACTGTAGGGGAAATGAAGCTTGCTGGGTCTGTCTCTACATCTCCTGCATAAAAAAGGAGAAATCTAATGAACCAATAAGAGCCCAAGTGAGCATTCCCCAAATCTTATAGGATTTGGCATAGTCTTTGGCTCTTGAGGACATGAATAGTTGTCTGGGATACTTCATGTCTTCCACAGTTTCTTTACCTTCTACCAAGATCCCCTTTTTGTTGCTCTGGCCATACCGTCACTTCTCCCTTGAGTTCTTGCATGAGCTCCACTTCTCCTTTTGCTTAAACAGCTTCTTCTGAGTCCTCCTATCCAATGGTTGTGACTTTAATTATGTATACCACTGCCCCTCACTCCCTGATTTCATTGAGGATCTTGGGTGAGAGAGAGGGATCTGCAGGATGAACAAATGCCCACTCTAAGACAGAGCTAGATTGGGGTGTCAGCTGGTTACTGAGGGTTATAGCAACTGTGGAGCAGGATTAACTTCAGAATAAATGAACAGGACAGAGATCTGAGGAGAGTCTGACTCTGATTGACTGCTCTAAACTATCCCTGGTAGTGCAAGTCCTTTGCCCTAATTCTCAGTTTTAGGCAAACTGGTTTATAAAGTCAATTCTTCCTCAGCCTTCTTTCCTGTAGCCTAGCATGGAGCATACGGCCAGAGCCCATTGTGAGAAGGTCATTCCAATCTGAAATGAACTTTTAAGTTGTGGCATTTGTATTTCCCTCACAATGCTTTCCATATTACTTGGCACAGGAGATACTTAGTATAATTGTGAATTAGCAAACGATCAGCGCTTGACTCATGGTAAAGTTTCTGTCTGTTGGATGAAGACTCTCGGCACCATTTTTCTTTCTACCACCTTTCCTTGGAAATCAGCCTTCAGCTTTGGATAGGAAAAGCCATATTACTTGTCACAGGAGATACTTAGTATAATTGTGAATTAGCAAACGATCAGCACTTGACTCATGGTAAAGTTTCTGTCTGTTGGATGAAGACTCTCTTGGCACCATTTTTCTTTCTACCACCTTTCCTTGGAAATCAGCCTTCAGCTTTGGATAGGAAAAACTTTGGTGTGTGAAATCATTGTAAATTTACTTCATCTTTTCTGGAGTTTGAGGTTGTGACTCTCCTGCTACCAATTAAATAAAGCTTGCTTTGCCATAACTGTTTTGTGTCCAGATTCTCAAAAATTCGTTTGCTTGTTTCCAGGAAAATGGTCCCGTAAGATTAGGATCTGAGCTCCTTCTTGTTGTGTTCTTGGAAGATAAACTTTATTCTTGAAGGTCCTCCTGGTATTAACATTTCATGGGTCATAATTTTTTCATTTTAAAGAAAATAGGTATATTGAAACAAATAGAACAAGATAACATACATGTGGGAGCTGAATAGACATTTTTCAAAGGCAGACATTCAGATGGCCAACAGGTACTTAAAAAAATGCTCAACATCACTTATCATCAGGGAAATGCAAATTAAAATCACGTTGAGGTAGCATCTCATCACAGTTAGACTGGCTGTAATCAAAAAGACTGAGAATAACAAATGCTGACAAAGATGTGGAGAGAGGGGAACTCTCTTACACTGTTTTCCATTAGTACAGCCACTATGGAAAACAGATAGATCTGCCATATGATCCAGTAATCTCACTTCTAGTTATATACCCAAAGGAATGGGAATCATCATGTCGAAGGGAGGCATGCACTGCCATGTTCATCACAGCTCTATTTACAATAGCCAAGATGGAACCAACCTAAATGTCCACCAGTGGACTACTGGATAAGGAAAATGTGGTATACATACACTGTGAAATACTACTCAGCCATAAAAAAGAATGAGAGAGAAAGAGAGACAGAGAGAGAGAAAGAGAGAGAGAGAGAGAAAGAGAGAGAAGAAAAGAAAGAAAGACCACAGTTGTGCTTTGGACTCGCAGAGGGAGAGAACATATCTAGGGTTGCCAGGGGCGGAAGTGAGGAGGGGGAAGGAGGTCGGGGAGGGGTTGGGTGATGGACATGGGAATAATGGCAATTTGTGGTAATGGGCATACTGATAGTATTGTTCTGGTCACATCTTGGACACAGGTGGTGATGGACAGCTTTGTACCCCATGAATATGTGTAATCAATAATTTTAAAAAAGGAATAAAAAAATAGGTAGACTTCGTTAAACATTTTAAAGCAGAAAGAACCACTAAGGTTTAGAAAAGAATAAATGTTGTGCCCATATTCAAGGCTCATGGCAATGCTCATTTTAGTTGTTAGTTGGAAAGAGTTTATATAAAAAGATAATATCCCAGTTTAAACAAGAGGTGGACTTATAAACTTCCAAAAGTGGCTTTATCCAGTCCCCCTTTTGTCACAAATGCTTGATGGCACATGAGGAGATGGCCACCAGCCTAACTAAGCCTGGCTGTAGGGTCTTAGAGACAGACATTCCCAGGAGCCTGCCAAATCTCAGGCTCACAAACTCCAGGTGGGATTGGATGCTTAGGAATTGACTGGCTGTGTCTGTGGATCTCTTTCTTCTTTGACGTGGATGCACATCTCTTCACAACCTCAACTGCTAGGCTGTGAAACACCATTGCACATGCATGCTATGAATCAACCCCACCACAGACCTGTGGCCTAGGTTTTGCCATGCTTTGTTATAGGGAATAGCAAAAGTCAATGGCTTTGAACCAAACCAAGTAGCTCTATCAATCATTGATTCATAACAGCTGCTCTGGACCCTGTTTGCTTCAATATTTTGGTAACCTGAATGAAGGTATAAAGCATATAACTAATTTTACAAATCGTCCTTTATCAGGTGGCCACTACATGATTTATGGAGAGGCACTGTTACCAGACTCAGGTCCAGCTGCCCGCCCCCTTGAAAGGGAAAGAAAAAAACTCAGAAGTCACATGGTTGGTGTTAGAAAAGCAGATGTATTCAGCTGAAGGAGATGGTAGGCTGTCCCATCTCAAAGATTTAGATTTACAGAGGGGTCTTTTAAAGGAAGAGTTGAGGGAATGGAATGTGGGAGGTGAAAAGCAGGAGAGGAGATGTGAGTTATGAGGGTCTGTTTCTATGGGTCAGGTACAAGGTCTCTCCAAGGTCTCGTCTGGTTTCTGTTCTCAGCTTCACTGTTACCTCAGGACCCTGCAAGATTTTGATTTGCGCCAGTGTACTTGGCTGGTGCCCAAGATCAACTTCGGTCATTTGGCCTTGATCATTTCTCAAAACTCTACGAATCTCAAAGAAAGAACTGTTAGCTTTGCAAAGTACTAATTAGCTTCTCGGCCTTGTTTTCCTACTTAGCGAGTGAGATAAGAAAGTCAGGGGATGGGAAGAAAGAGTGGAGAGAAAAAAACTGTCCTTTTTAAAATGCTGCCCCCTTCGCAGCCCAGGCAGTTTTAGGTCCCAACATGGCTTCAGTCCTGCTTACTCCAATAGCAAGCACATCAAATATTTTGACTACTTTGATAGTGGGGAAAGGATTCTGTATAGCCAGAATGAATTTATAAGTGACAAATATAAGTCATAATGTTTATGTACCTGCCAGCTGCCAAAAAAGAAGAAAAGAAACTAAGTCATAATGTTTATAGAGATAAAAGAAAACAACATGACCCAGAAGTAGCTGTGGGGAAGGGTAGAAAATAGGGAGGTCAAAATTGACCTGAAGTTAAGTGTGTAAAACCCAAAAAGACTGAGAGGACAAAAAAAGCCAACATGACATTGGAATGTAATATGATTAATATTGGACAGATAGGCAGGAAATCCTTGTACTGAAATAATTAGTCATATGCCAATTAGATTATCATACTTAGATTTTAATTTCTATACTTTTAAAAGCATGGAAAAAAACTGGAGAGGAGCCCAAAACGAACAATAAGATCTAAAAGTCAAATTCTCATTTGAAGAAAAACCATAAGATCTACTTCCATTGAAACATTGAGGAGTAACTTCAAGAAAAAGAAAGGCGTTTGGAAATTGTTTCTGCCTTGTTTTTTTCTCACATGCTTAGAGTTTTAGAGAGAGTTTGGCTGACAGCATTGGCACAAGGATAATAACCAAAAAGTTGAAATTGGCTGCTGGGCAGGGTGGCTTTACCTCAACCTCTCAGTATTTATAGGGTGTTATTCTTCTGCTGCCAATGAAATTAAGCTTGCATTGTCTTACCTGTAGCTCCACCATTATTCTAATTCTGTGACTATGACTGCAGACTATTTCCTGAGTACCTTGAGACCTCTCTCATTCATCCTCTTTGGAGTCAGAGTTACAGATAGAGCCTTAGGCATTGAGCCCTGGTATCTTGAGCCATGATCTTTGTAGTCAACGACTTAAGTATTGTGGAGCTGATTAATTACCCGACTTGTGAGAAGACTCTTGGGGAACTCTATCCCCTCAGGAAGAGAAGAATCATGGCACCCACACCCTCCAGTCCTGTTTAAACCTCATTTGTTTGCATTTGTTTTTAATTTATTATGTGCTTGTATTTTTTTTTTTCCCTCACTAATCTCTGGATTCTCCTCTACTTCCCCATGGCAGCAGTTCCCCTTGTTTACTTGGTGTGTTCTCCCCACCCAAACCAGTCTCCAGTGCCCTTATGCTAAGGAAGTCCTTGGTGGGAGTTCCTTTAGGTCTGCCTTTTTTTGTTACCATTAGAGGCTGCGTTTGAGATCTCATGTTCCTGTTGTATCCTCTTTAATAACCTAATTTCTTTAAACCATGATTTTCTTTCAGCTCATCAAGGTGGCTTTGGAGAAAAGTCTGGCAACTATGGAGACCCAGAATATATCTCTTCCCCCTTCCTCTCCAAAAGGAGGGGACAGTAACAGGTGTCTTCAGGAGGAAATGCTCCACCTGAGGGCTGAGATCCACCAGCACTTAGAGGAGAAGAGAAAAGCTGAGGGGGAACTGAAGGAGCTAAAGGCTCAAATTGAGGAAGCAGGATTCTCCTCTGTGTCCCACATCAGGTAGGACATTTTTCTCAGAGCAGAGGAGCCTGCTGATCATGAGGCACCATAGACAAGGGACTCGCCTTGCTGCAACTAAGGCATTAGTGCTTCCACAGAACTAGTAAGTCCACATCCCATGCTCCATGAGTTAATGCTACACATTCTTTAGAGGAAAGTTAATTATATTGGGTAATGATAATCACCTTTTGTTATTCAAATAAATCTGGTCTTAATTCAATATAATAATGCCCATTATTATTGCCCATATGCCCATCATACATACTCATATGAGAATCATGGGTAGAAACCTCCTAGTTGTATGACTGATAATATTCTTTTGAATTGACTGTAACATATAAGGAATCTCCTGCTACCTAAGATGTTTCACTGATGTATGCGGAAATAGAACAGTCCATGAGGGAGGAGAATTTAAATAGAGGTCCCCCATCTCTACTCAGCTGTCTCTAGGAAGCATGCATCCTTGAATCATGGAATAGTAACTTTAATCATATTTGCTGCCTTATTAACTTTACAAAAATGATAAATAGCTGATTCATTGGCTAGATTGGCCACTCTGTCTTTAATGGCTTTTTTAAAAAAGATGCTTGGGGAAAATGCTGATGCTATTGAGCTAATCCAATTATTCATTCACCCCTGAGGGCCATAATCATCATGGCTTGTTGTTTAGAGTACAGTTGTGCAGATGTACAACTTCTAATTCATGCCCTATTGTTTCCCTCCATATGACATGCCATTTAAACTTGCCTGAGTTATGTTAGCATTTGAAGAGGAACTCAGTCCTAGAAAGTGCCAAGTGACTTGCTCAAGATTACAAAATAGTCTGTGGCTAGACCCTAGGCTCCCAGTTTTTAACATCTAAGCCTTACTTTTATATTAGATACTTTGTCAAACAATTAGAAAAAATCCTTATGATCATTCTAAATGCCAGTTCTTTCACTCTGAATTATCATAATAATCCTATAAGCCTTACTTTTATATTAGATACTTTGTCAAACAATTAGAAAAAAATCCTTATGATCATTCTAAATGCCAGTTCTTTCACTCTGAATTATCATAATAATCCTGTCCTTAAGTTCTACTTAAAGCATAAGTTTTATTTAAACTTTTGTATATGTTAACTTAGTTGAGCTGTCATGGTAAGATAGTTGACCCTACAATCAAACCATTTGTAGATACCCTCATGGATTTTTTTTCCCCTCAGTTTCTAACCTGAAACTCTGATTTGTTTAACCCTACACACAACCTTAAGAATCACTGATCGTGTAGAAGATAGAATCTGTCTGACACACATCCTCCTCTTTCAACAAGACTGGATTGAGCTTTGCTTTCACTACTTTGTATTGTGAAAACATTGGGTTTCTCCAAAACATTAAGTTATAACATAGTGTTAAATATTCTTTTCCATACTTTGTATGTGCCCCTTCTCTCCCTTCTACATCCCAATTTTGGTAAATTTTCTGCCTACTTTTTCTCCGTTGAGAAGCTGTCTCATAGATAGTCTGAGTCCCATGTCCTAAAGAATTTTCTTCCCCAAATCACACCAGACAAGCTCTGCTCTAGGTTCCAAGACTTCAGGATTCTGAGAAATCCAATGTAGGTGTATAGCCAACTGCTGATACTTCAGGTTGTGAATTACCCATTTCCTTTGTCTCTCCTAATTCAGTGGTTCTCAGTTTTGTATGCTTAAGAATCACCTGTGGAACTTAAATAAAATGTAAATTCATAGGTCTTAAGCTCTGTAACTTTTTTTTTTTTTTCCTTTTGTTTGAGACCGGCCACACCGCGCTCAGCCAGTGAGCACTGTGAGTGCACTGGTCATCCCTATATAGGATCCGAACCCGCGGCGGGAGCGCTGCTGCGCTCCCAGCGCTGCACTCTCCCGAGTGCGCCACAGACTCGGCCCATAGCTCTACAACTTTTTAACAAGCACCTCATGGGATTCTGATGTTGGTACTCCTCTGGTCTGCAGCTAGTACAGCAGAGATTGATGATTTCTCTGTTGCAGACTCTGAGCTAAGCATACCATACAAGTAATATCATTTAAGCATCCACCAACCTCCACTAGGTAAATGTAATCCTTGTTTTACATAAAAGGAGACTGAGACTCAAAGAAGTTACGTGAATTGCCTTGTTAAAGCCATATTTTTTATTGCTTCCACTGAACCCTACTAAAGGGTTTGTTGGGGAGAAAGGGTGGATCTGAATGTCTTGGTAAAAAATTAGTTGTTTTCACCAACTTTATTTCTTCAACAAATATGAATGTTTTATGTGGCAGGCACTTGCGTTGGCACTGGGGATACAGTATGAAAAGGACAGACACAGTTCCTGCTCTCATGAAGGTTATCTCCTATCATATGAGCCAGCCATACAGCAAATAATTATATAAGTACATTTTTATTATAGTTCTGATTGGTATTATTTATTTATTCTGTGTTCCTAGGTCCCTCTTTATCATTCAGTGGTTTAAAACTGACTGATAATAATTAATAGAACTGTGGAATCCATAATAATAAATTTGTTACAGGCAAGATCCTTCTTATTTTTTTCTTAACAATGTAAGTACCCATGTTTATTCCAGATGCCAATGAAAATTGGAACATATGAGGCTGTGTGGTACAGATAAAGAAAACTAGACTGGGTATCTTGAGTAAAAGGTTTTTGGTGGCGGTGCTGCCACCAAGTAGCTGTGGAAGTACAGGCAAGTCTCCGACTCTTCCTGAGCCTTGGTTTTCTCATCAAGAAAATAAGTTGTTGTAGGTTTCCAATGTCACTTTATGCTCCAGGGTGTCTCTGAGTCTGTCATGGACTGAGATATGGGTAAAAGGGACTATTAGGAACTGTGGTCAAGACCAGACCTGGCACCTGATTATATGTGTTTCCTGCAGGAACACCATGCTGAGCCTTTGCCTTGAGAATGCAGAGCTGAAAGAGCAGATGGGAGAAGCAATGTCTGATGGATGGGAGATCGAGGAAGACAAGGAGAAGGGCGAGGTGATGGTGGAGACTGTGGTAGCCAGAGGGGGTCTGAATGAGAGTAGCCTTCAGGCTGAGTTGAGAAAGCTCCAGGGAAAACTGAAGAGTGCCCACAACATCATCAGCCTCCTCAAAGAACAGCTGGTGTTGAGCAGCAAAGAAGGGAGTAGTAAACTTACTCCTGAGCTGCTTATGCACCTGGCCAGGGAAATTGACAGAATGAACATGGAACTGGTTTGCCCTCCTGGGAAGCACCAATGCCAAGAGGTAGAGGATGTGACCATGAGGCCTTGCAGCAGACCCCAGAACCTTGACCTTGGGGCTGCCCTCAAAGTTGATGCCCACCAAGTAAGTGTGGGCATGGATGGAATGCAAAACACTTGGAGAAGGGCTGGAGATACTAGTTTTTACCTTAAATGGTTCCACCTTGTGGATTAGGAGGTACCAAGAGAAGGACACCTTTGTACTTAGGTACCAAGAGAAGGACACCTTTGTACTTAGGTACCAAGAGAAGGACACCTTTGTACCATAGTATCACTATGCAGTGATAATAATATTACACACACATTTAGCCTTTAGAAAGACTTTTACAATATTATCTCATAAATTCTTCTTGAATACTTAGTTTTCCAGATAATACACTAGGCATAAGCAATGGGCAATAAGACCTGACCTCTGCCCTTGAGGTACTCAATGTGGCAGAGGAAGTATGGCACAAAAACAGATACCATATCAATAGGATGTGACAACTACCTTAATATAAGGATGCATCCAGTTTTGAGACAGCTCAGACAAGCAGTGTGTAATGACATCTCTTATCACTGCCAATTTTGCCTCAGCTCATCACAAGTGTCTGTTCCTGGGCCTCAAGAGGGGTTATTGGGATCCTCTTAAGGGAAGGAGCTTTGCTGAGGATTCAATAAAATGGAGAATATAGAGGATTCTGCAAGGACCCCTGGGATAGGAATGCATGGAGAGATGAGTGAAGGTTTTACTCTCTTCTCTTTTAAACCACTGAGCAAATATTCATTGAGAGCTCCTCTGTAGAACTGATTGGACTGTGCTATGTGCTATAGATATAGAGATGAATAAAACATTATCTCAGCTCTCCAGGAGCTCCATCTGCAAAGCAAGTAACTACTAAATGGCATGGGCAGGGCTGTGAGGGACACAAGAATAAAGTCTCCACAGGGCTCAGAGGGGGAAGTGGCTGTCACTGTATGGGGGACGATCTCAGACTGTCCTGATTCTTGTATTGGACCTTTTCACAGCTGAATAACCAGTCTGAGGCCCATTACCCTGGGCCTCAGTCAGAATTTAGCCTCCCAGGGTCCACCAAGCACCTGCACTCCCAGCTGGCACAATGCAGGCAACGCTATCAAGATCTCCAGGAGAAGCTGCTGATATCAGAAGCCACTGTCTCAGCCCAGGCTAACCAGCTGGAGAAATACAGAGTCATATTTAGTAAGTCTTAGATGTTCACTATTACTAAAGTGTCTTTCTTCTCCCTGAGAAGCTACATGTTTTACAGACTTGACTTTTCTTCCCAACCTCAAAACAAATTTAATCCTGACCATAGTCCTAGAATTGTGGAAGTGGATATTTTATTTTGCTTTGCAGATGGCAGAGAAAATCAAAGGAATAAAGCAAGGTTTAAAGTTTGCAGTGAGAGTATAGGGAGGAAATGGGCTAACATCTAGGTTTGCTGATTTCTTGTATGGTCAATAAAGTACCTTACCTCTCTCAACATATACTAATTGTTTCTCTTTATACCACATCAGCTTCTTCAAAAACATATCATCATTGTTGGTCTAACATCAGTGCTATCCAGTAGAACTTCCTACAGTGATGGAAATGTTCTATATCTACCTCACATGTGGCTATTGAGCACATGAAATATGGCTAGTACAACTTGCAAATTTTAAGTTTAATTTAATTTAGTTTTTAAAATAAATTTTATTCTGTATATTTAAGGTATACAACATGATGTCATGGAATACATATAGATAGTAAAATGGTTACTACAGAGAAACAAGTTAATATATTATCTCCCATAGTTACCCATTTTTTGTGTGTGCCAAGAGCAATTAAAATCTACTCATCTATCATGAATCCCATATGTAGTACAATATTGTTACCTATAGTGCTCATGTTGTATTTTATTCATTTAATTTTAATTAATTTAATATAAAATAGCCACATGTGACAGTAACTACCTTATTGGACAGTGCAGGTCTAGTTGTCTTGGACTCTAAATTAGTTTGGCTCCTTTATTCATTTAATTTTAATTAATTTAATATAAAATAGCCACATGTGGCAGTAACTACCTTATTGGACAGTGCAGGTCTAGTTGTCTTGGACTCTAAATTAGTTTGGCTCCATTTAAACATTTACTGAGCCCCCATGGATAAAAGCCCTTACTAGTTTCACTGGGATTTCCAGAAATCATAGTATGAAATACCCAACTTAATAGTTGTCCGGTCCCAACTAAGCCTAGGTTATCTGAAGGTTAGATCATCAGTGGCAAACACAGACTCATCCTGGTGGAGAGAAGTCCTGCTGCCTGGAGTGGATGGTCTTTTCTCTTACATGAATCTGAAGAGGCATCTATTCTACTCTGGATTTGAGCTCCCTGCCCCTAAAGGCCAGGGTATGTGCCACTGGGTTCTAGGGTGTATGTAGGAAATTCAGATACTGTGTAACACCCACTCTCTCTTTCTGAGCAGAAGAATCCTTGGTGAAGCAGGACAGCAAGCAGGTCCAGGTGGACCTTCAGGACCTGGGTTATGAGACTTGTGGCCGAAGCGAGAATGAGGCTGAGCGGGAGGAGACCACCAGTCCCGGTAAGAGCACAGGTGTGGGGTGCACCTTTCCTCCCTGGAGTCAGCTGTTGGCCAATCCCACATCTGATGAGTAGGAGCTGGAGAGGGTGTTGTGACTGAAGGGGACACAGGACCAGAGAAGGACAGGAAGTTTGAAGAAGAACTGTTGCCCCAAATGAGGGTGAATGTGAGTTTGAATTTCTATAAAATTTGAGCATACTGCTGTTAATAGTAAAAAACAAAGTCCTATCCAACTGATTATTATTAAAAAAAAATACTAAAGCCTACTTATTAAGGAAGAGACCAGATGAGCTTTTGGGGATATGCAAACCATAAGTTTAAAAAAAAAATTGTTTTGCATTATAAAAGGACTATAACCATAGGGCCACCCACCAAATCAAAACCAAGAAGAGGAGAAAAACACTCAACCTCACTCACCCCTGAGGCAGTGTAGTGTGGTGGTTAAGAGCAGAGATCCTGGTGCCAGACTGGTTGGTTCAAATCTCAGTTTGTGAACTTCTCTGTGCCTCAGTTTCCTCATCTGTTAAAATGGTAATAAAGGAATGGCCTACCTCATTGGGTACTAATGTCAAGCAAATTCTTGTAAAACATTTTAGAACAGTGCCTTGCCCCTGGTAAAATGCTGTATGTTTGTCCTCATTCTGACTACCACTACCCTAACAGCCATTGTTAATATGCTGATACATTTCTTTGAGGTCTTATTTTCCTACGCCTCTTTTTCACTTAATTGTAACCCAGTAAATTTCTAAATCATTATATTTGGAGAGCAGCATGCAGGAACAACTTGTCCTACAGTTCTTGTGGCCATTCTAAATATAT